GGAAGAGTCAAGGAAGGGTTCCCCCTTAGGGCCTCCAGAGGGAGTGATACCTTGATTTCAGGCTTCTGGCCTCCAGGAACTGTAAGGGACTACATTTCTGTTGTTTTAAGCCAACAGGTTTGTGATAATTTGTTATAGCAACCTTAGGAAACTAATACAGGGTACATGGGCATAAACAGCATTTTTGAAAAATATTTATTATGTATACATTTTTTATTTATAGTTTGGCTGGATATGGAATTCTATTTGCAAAGTAATGATATTTTTATACTTATCTTTACTGATACATTTATAAGTTGGCATTCTTCTGTAAATAAGTGTTCCCTATCCCATCTTTCTGTGTATTTTTTTTTACTATCAGTTTAGACTATTCCATGTGATATAATCAGTTCTATCATTATTCCATATGATGCTTAAATTATCCCAAATTTTAACCAATGAGAGCACCTTCAAATTGGCTTTTGTGTCTCTTTGATATGTTCCTATCAGTTGTTTAGCACAGAGCTCACCATGTATTTTCTCTGCCCCATCTATGGAACCAACTGTTTCTCCAAAGAGAACTGATTAATTTATTGGTGAATAGTATTTAGAAACTAAAGTCTGAATATTGAGTATAATGCCATTCCTATTTCTTACCCTTCACATATGACCTTTTTTTTCATCTTTCTGGAATCTTTTAGGAACTTCTCCCTGTGTCCACCCAGTGTTCTGAAACTTGATGATAATGTACCTTCGGTTTGTTTGTGTTTCCATTTATTGTGGCTTTTTCAATCTAAAAACTCATGGCCTTCAGTTCTAGAAAATTGTCTTCCGTTATTTCTTGATGATTTTCTCCCCTCCATTTTGCCTTGTCTTTCTTTCTAGAACTCCTATTCTTCGGATGTTGGATTTTCCAAATAGATTTTTTTCCTCATATGGCCACGTCTTCTAATATAAGACATTATTATATACTGATTGCATATGACAAGGCTCAAAGAAATAACAGCTTTGTGGATAGAGAGTCTAAACCACATAACATGGAGGACTAGGGGACAGTGTGTGTCTCAATGATGCCATAGTGATATGAGAGAAATATGGTGTAATGGAAAAAGCAGTGGATTGAAAGGCAGAAATATATAATCCAGTCTCAGCTCTGCCACTTACTAGATTAAGGATTGGGTTGTCGGAAAAGTCATGACGCATTTTTGCAACGAAAAACATAGAAACAATACGTCATGACTTTTCCAACAACCCAATAGATTGCCTGCAAAGGTGGTTGCCAACAATTCCTTCCACCTATGTAAACATATGTCACTCCCTTTACAAAGAGGTGGAATTTATTTCCCCTTCCCTTGATTCTGGGTTATATGACTTGTTGTGACCAATGGAATGCAGCGGAAGTGACACTGTTCCAGTTCTAGGTCTGGCAGCTTCCACTTTCACTCTTGAAAACTCCCCCACTGGGGGAGTAGCCCTTTGGATCTTCAAGCTTCCCCTGCGTCTTCCTAGCCAACATTAAATAGACCAAGGAAGAGCTGACCCTGTGAACTCTCCCCTTTGAAGAATCATGAACAAATAAATAATGGTTGTTTTAAGCCTCTAAGATTTGGTGATGGTTTTCCTCGTAATAGGTAACTGAAACAGAAATTGGTACCTGGATGTGGAGTGTTGCTGTAACAAAAACCTAAAATATGTGACACTGACTTTACTGCTAGGCAGTCATAATAGAGAAAAGACTGCTAGTGGAGGTTGGAAGAGCGATGAGGAAAAGCAGCCTGGGTTATATGTCGGTAGAAAGTCTAACAATACTGTTGCCTGTGGTAACCTGAAAAAAAAAATGTGCCTAATGAACGTGGATTGAGGCAAGGAGATTTCCAGGCAGAATGTTGAAAATGCCAGTGGTCTTCTTTTAGCGACATGTGATAAGGTACAACAAGAAAAAAAAATATACTAAAGAAAGATCGGTTTGGTTTTCAAGATGAAGTCTAGCCAGTGGAAGATTTAGAAAGCAAGACATGGCCTCAGGGTAAAGATTGAATCATGTATTTTTTCATTTTTAAGATTCCAGAAAGATTTAATGTGTTACTTGATGATCTCAGGGCTTCTAGGAATCTTACCTGCATTGTTCCACTGCAGCCTGACATGTACAAAGTAGAGAGCGAGGTCTGTTTTCAGAAAAAATAATGAATGTGAATTTTAGAGCATGGAGTCAACTGCAGTAAGATTTACAGGCAATCCATAGTTTTTGAGAAAATTGTATTGGGTATGAATTTTGGAGCATGGAGTGAAAATAAGATTTATAGAAAATCCACATAGTTTTAAAGAGAATTATATTAAAGAAAGAACTGCCATCTTGGACACAGAAACAGTTAAAAATTAATAGAGGTTTCTGGATCTTCAGGTTTCTACTGGCATGAAGCATTGAGCTACTCGGCTACAAACATGGCCAGTCTTAGGGAAAAGGAAAGACTGTCTCACACACCGGAGCCAAGGGGCCAGAGGGCAAATCCAAAACTGATCAGGCAATGAATTAAAGCAAGGATCAGCAAACTATAGCCCATAAACCCAGTCCAGCCTGTTGGCTGTTTCTGTACAGCCTACAAGCCAACAGCCCTGGACCCTTTTGCTTCTGGGAAGCCATCTGCCATTCCTACCCTGGTGTGGAGAGAAATGAGGACCTGGAGGATGAAAGACCAAGGGAAAGAAAGATCCAGCTTGCTCTCCGCCATTCTAGCAATCCCAGATGAAGCACCAGACACATGAGTGAAGCCACTTTTAATCCTCCAAACCCAGTTGAGTTGCCCCTTCCAACATCATGTGAAACAGCCAAGCTGTCCCCACTGAGTCCTGTCCGAATTGCAAAGTCAGGAGCCAATAAATGGTTATTTATAGTTTAACCGCTAAATTTTGGTGGTAATTTGTTCCATTGCAATAAGTCACTTGGGTGTATTATTTAATCTCTGGACTGGGCAGGAAGCTTTAGTTGGGCTCCAGTTTCTTCATCTATAAAAATCTAGTCTTGGACAAGTTAATCTCTTAAGGCCTCTTTCTGCTCTGACATTGTGTTAGTGGGTGAATAATTCTATCATTCTATAATTTAATGAGTACCTATTGCTGGCTAGGCACTATTAGAGGTGTTGAGGTACAGCAGATAAAGCGTGAAGAGAACAAAACGGAGGCCTCAGAGGACAGTATACACAACAGCAGACAATCAGATATCTGTTGTAATAAACATTCTCTCCAGCCATGGGGGGGGGGGGGGGTAAAGAGGGGAAAAAGAGAATCTTTGCATGAAGAGATTTAGGAGAGTGCCTTTATACAGGCAGAATTGGCCCCACATTGCTCCGATATTTCTAAACCATGACTTCGAATAGCTTTGTTTTTGTAACAACATCAGTGTTAAATTGTGCAGCATGAAGCAAAGCCTGGCTATTGCACAGATCTGTTTGTTTGGATTTGTTGGATCCCTAAGAAAAGCAAAAAACCACTCTTTGGTATACTTGGTGGCTTGTACGTATTCCACATGATTTGATTTAAATCATCTCTTCTGCAGAGGGCCTATCACAGCAGAATTAGGAGTAAGAGGCTGTGGAACCTGCCCAGAGGGTAGAGAAGGAGGCTGAATTCCGGGCGCCATTACTGTCTGCCTGTGTACCCTTCTGTCCCAGAGTGCTCACAGGATGGACAGATAAGCACGGTTTCCGCCTGGAGGGCTTTCGGCCTAAACTGAAGAGCTATCAATGTAAATCAGAAATTGTATCGAAAGGGTTGCTTTATTTTCTATTTGTCCTTCTGATAGGGCCTATCGTGTAACATTCCAAGTGAAAGAACTAGGGAACAATGAGCTCTGTGCTGAATGTCCTGAGACCCTGTTTGTGACCCCCGACTTTGCAGCTAACTGGCATAGCAACGAATGTCTTTTGGCCTTGCTATCATTTTTTGATTCCCAGGAATGAAATGACGCTCAACTGGAAAGAAAAAATTGAACGTTAAGATGGGAGATTAAAACACAGAACCATTGAGAGCGGAGAAAGAGCTGCATGAAGTGAGTGGGAAAAGAGGATTCAAAGGCGGCATGAGAGGCCTTTGGGATTCTTGCTGGTTTGAGGTTTGAACACAGTGCAGTCACACACAAAAACGTTTGCTTACATGTTGCCACTGGGGCTCATGGAAGCACAGCAGGGAAGAAAAGTGAGAAACTGAGCAAAACCAATAAGCGGCTGGAGAGTGGGGGATGGGGTGGGGAGGGGGCACGACAGTTGTGAAAGACGAAAGTTAGGAAACTTCTTTGTTGGAAATTGAGGTTCAAAGCCACCGGCCCCACCCAGCCCGGGAAGGCATGCCAGAGGACGCAGTTACCCAATGCGCGGGGTGCCGAGTCCCCGAAGTCTCGGAGAGAAGCTAAGCAGGACTCTCTCTGGGAAAAGGCTCCTCCCGGGGTGGGATCCTGGTTCCTGGCTTCTGCCTCCCACCCCCAACCCCCACCCCAATCCCGGCTCCGACCTCCCTGCGCGCTCAGAGGCGGGGGCGGGCCAGTCTTTTCAGGGCAGAACCCGACTGATCCTCCTCCCTGTGCTCCTCCGGGGAACTGCTGGCCAGAGGTTAAGCTAACATGTTTGCAGACGGTAATGGGGAGCTGGATGCCAGTGGCCCCAGCTCAGGGGAATCTCGACATGTTTCTTGGAACAATTCTTCCTTCCATTACATTGACGCCAAAAAAAAAAGTAACTTAACCACGCTCAGAGTCTACTCAAGTCTTGGTAATGGATTCACCTACACCAGGACTGAGAACGCCCCGTGGTGCTCAAGAAGTAGAATGAGGAAGGGAGGAAGAAACGAGGTCGATAATGGGCCTCGAGTAAGCCTCGGGGGCGCCTTAGCGGAGGGCAGGGCAGCGGGCACGGGGCCCGCTCCAGCTTGGCGGGGTTCGGGGAACGTTTTAGGGCGAGGCCGGCCTGGCTGGCGGGCGGGCCGGTGAGGGTGAGTCACCCTGACTCGAGATGGGAACGGGCAGGGGGAGGGGGAGGCGGCTATAAAGGCCCCACCCAGGCCTGCCGGCTGCGCTCGCCATCTGGGGACGCTTGCAGCACTCGGCGCTCGGCCCAGGTAAGCGGGGCGCGCCCTGCCCGCCCGCCCGCTATGGCCCCGGGGCCGCCCCGCTAGCGGGGCGCAGAGAGGCATGGAAGGAGACGGCCTTGCAGAGCAGTTCGGGCGACGGGGACCCGGGGAGCCATCCGGGCGAGGGGGCTGGGGGAACGAACGGTCCACACGGGGGCTCTGCGGAGAGGGGGCACAGTGGCAAGGCGGTCTGGGCATGAGTGAGGGGAGGCGGTTGTGCCCTGACGCTGGGAGTGCAGGGCCGAGGGACGGGGTCCGGCGTCCCCCATCCCCTCGAGCGCTCTCTGGAAGCCCGGCGAGGCAGCGCAGGGGAGGGAACCGAGGGAGGCCCCGCATTCCAGACGCGGGTTGGTGGGGGTGCAAGGGTGTGGCCGCCCCAGGAGCCGCAGGCAGAGCATTCATCCGGGGCATTTACCTCCACGTTTAACAAAAGCTTTCCGGTCATCTAGAAAGTAATCCCCATCTGTTCCAAGTTACTTTATTTGAAACAAATGCGCATTTGTGGAACTCGTACTCACCAGCTGGAGGGAAGCATTGGGGGGGAGGATGAGGGGTGGGAGTTTTTAGTATCAATTCCCCCTCAAAACAAAACAAAGCAAAACAAGCAAAAAAGCCTCAGCGCATTCTCCTTCGTCTAGATTATCTTGTAAGAGAGCAATTTCTGATTTCCGTCTATCTAGAGTTTCTCCCTCGGTTGACCACTTTTGTATCAGTAAGGAAGTGTTCTCCGTGGTTCTGTGGGGAGGGTTGTCACCGTTACTCGAGGTGATGCGACAGACTCAGGGACCTAGGGTACAGAAAAGGGCGTGGCCTCTGGGCCTCTCCCTGCAGCTCTGTGAAGTGGGTCCCAGGGCCGGGGTGGGAGGGCTGGATTCCATCAACTGGCTGTTGAGAAGGTAGGTGCGGATGAATTTCCTTACCTATGGAAGTGGCTTAAGGATGCCCATTTCCACCTCCATTCACATAGAGTTATTGTAAAAAATTTCAAAAAACATTCATTGAAAATGACGTAAAGCACACCGAAAACGTTAGGTGCCATACAAATGTAGTGTCATTTTTGTTTTAAGATTTGCCATTTTAAACATATGGGTATTCTGAATCTGTGTGTAAAAGAGATGGGGCCATAGAGGTGCACGTTGGGTCTTTACCAAGAACTTAAGGTCTGGAGTCCAGAAATCTGGGCCCCTCAGCTTAGGCGAATTCAGTTCAAAAGTGTGTGCTATGGTGCCCTGCTGGAACTTGGTGGTTTGAAAGGCAGAATGCACTTTCCCACTGAAACAATGTTATAGGAGATGCTTAGGCTCCCAGGCTAGCCCAGAAAACCCTGCTTACCTTGCATTGTTTTTTTAAGGACTGATAGTGTATGCCCAATTTGGGAGTGCAGGTGATGGGGGAAGGAAAGGTAGAAGGGTGAGGGAGGATATGGGGGTAAGAAGAATAAATCACAGAAATATTTTTCTGGTGCTTCTGTTCATTTTAAGGTTGGCTCAGATGAAATTATTTTAATTGGAAAATTATGTCTTGGACCCCTCTCCACTTTTCCCTGCTTTCCTCCTACCTCCTTCAAGACCCTCTTTCCTGACATCTTACAAAAGCCACCCAGGCTTATCCAGTTCTGCTGTGTTATCATCCCCTTTGCCATTTCAGGGTACCCAGCTAGAGACTAGCAAACTGAATCAATATTCGTTATTATTTATTAATATTCAATATTAGGCTGATTGGTGGTCCTAAAATCCTCGGCAACCCAGAGGAGTTGTGTGCTTTAAGAAAACAACAAGAAAACCGTGTTAACCTAAACAGATCTGTAATTATAGAATTCAAGGCTATGGAATGAGGGATCTGCATAATATAATATTTAGGCAACAAGGAGAAAGAGTTTAGATGAACTTCAAGTGGTGTCCTCTGTGGCCAATAGTGTTAAGACATTTGCACTTTCTTCTCTTCTCGTGAAGTCCACGTATACTGTAAAAGCTTTAAGGGGTGTCTTCAAAAATATCCATCTCCTCTGCAGTGGAATAGTGTGACCATCAATGTGATTTTTTTTTTTTTTTAGTTGCGGGTTTATAATTTGGAGACTGCCTAGATTTTGCAGGCCAAGTGGCCTGCCTGTGGTCAATGCCCAGGAAATATCGCTGACTCACTGGCTTTGATCAGCAGCTGCTCTTGGATTGGCGTCTCAATATTCAATATCCTGTGTCTGAACTATTAAAAGTATTGTATTGATTGACATTAGGCTTGCAGTTGTGGCCATTAGCTTCCTGACCAATTTCTGACTTACGCCATTTTTCTGGCAAGGTTCTCTTCCTATAATGGCTATTGATTCTGAGGGCGGCAGGTCTTCCTGCACTGTTGGGCCTGGACTCTGGCAGGAACGCATCGACATGGGCCTTTGTTCTCATGCTGTACTTGTGCTGGGCTCTGTGCCCGGCTGAGGAGTTTTTCATCAATCGGGGGGGGGGGTGCCCCGAAGGAGTGCAGGCCCTGCTGATCTGCGTTATGTAGTCATTCCACAGTATTAAGCACCTACTATGTTCTAGTTACAGGCACTGGGGATACAGAACAGATAAAAAAACAGACAAAAGACGAGAACTGTATAGTCAGGAATTGGATTTTGAATGATACATTTGCCCAAATTAATGTTAGTTCCCAGACGTAGTTGGGGTTCCTTTTACCTTTAATCCAGCTGTTCCAGAGACCTGCGCATTTTATTGAACCTGCTTTAAGGAAACTTGTTTAAAGTTATTGAGACTGAACCAGCCTTCTGAATTTGACTGTGAGAATTCCATAGAAATGGAATGCCCCTCTTTTTATTTTTTTGGACATGAGAATCTTCCCCCTTCATTTTCCCTGGTGCCACATCCTATTCTAGTTTTAGGCTACATAGGAGGAAATTCCTTTCAGTTCTTTAAAAAAATTCTTTCCGCCCATTCACTGTCTGGCATATTTTTCTTTCTATTGCCAGAGGCAGTCCCCATGTACTTTGCGTGTGGGGGGGAGGTCAGCAGTCAAGGCCAGGAGATGGCCAAGATTGTTCTTCTGGGGGGTTCCCCTGAGACTATCTTCAAATCTCCCTTTTAGGGGATGCCCCGAAGCTGTTCCGCTATGGAGCTCAATCTTGTCAGAAGTCCGTAGCATCCAAGTACCTAGTCGACTCCCAGGCTTGGTTGGTGTGGAAAGTTCTGGCTTACAGGAATGGTTGTGACTGGAATCTTGTCCTTTGTCTCCCTGCCACACCCAGCCTACGCACTCACAGCTCAGAGGAAATCAGAGTCCCAAGGCCAATTGGTCAGTCCTCCTTCCTTTGCATGTCCTTCCTTGTCTTTCCTGCCAGAGGAGATGTAGGTTGTGTTTCCACATTGTCCAGTGGACGATCTAGGACCCAGTGGCCTTGACAGTACAGAGGTGGGGTGCCTATCATGATGAGAAAGAAGTTGCCTTGACGTGGTCTTACCAGACTTTGCAAAAATGTGCACAGAAGCTGGGAATTGTAGCCTCCAGCTCTGAATGTGTGGAAGTGGAACTGCATTTCAGGTGTCGTCTGAGGGAGAGAGGAAACTGAGGAAGGAGAGGGCGTTGGAAAAGGAGAAAAAAAGAACAGTGTGGAAAAACCCAGTGTGTGTAAACCATCCAAAAATGTGACTGAATGCCTCATGTGTGCTAGGCACTGTGCTCAGATCTATGAGGAAACGGGAATGAATAAGACAGAAACCCTGGGCTGGATGAGTGGCTCAGTTGGTTAAGAGCACAAGCTCTGAGCAACAGGGTCGCTGGTTCGATTCCCACATGGGCCAGTGAGTTGCGCCCAAGCTGAGCTGCCCCTGAGCTGCCAACAGGTGGCAGGATGGCTCAGTTGGTGAAGGCATGTGCTCCAAACAACAAGGTTGCTGGTTCGACTCTCAAAATGGATGGTGGGCTAAGCCCACCTGCAACTAAGATTGAACACGGTACCTTGAGCTGAGTGTCTGTGAGCTGCCGACGGGCAGCCAGATGGCAACTGAACTTGGAGCTGAGCTAGCTGCGCCCTCCACAACTAAGATTGAAGGACAACAACTTAGCTGTTCCCCTTAACCAATACTGTACCTCTTCCCCAATTCCCCAATAAAATCTTTAAAAAAAAAAAAAAAGACAGAAGCCCTGTGGGTGGATAGAAGGCTGTTCATATACACTGAAGTCTGATGTTTCACAGACATGCCCAGAGTGGCAGGAGCAGAGAGCAGGGAGAGGTGCAGGAGAAAAGGTAACAGTATTTTTTGTGCCCTGAAGTTCTTAGAGGATGCCAGCTGGTCAAGATTGAGAGTTCATAGTGGAGGGAACTTGGAGAACACGGCCTGGAGGTAGCAGGACAGTGCTGAGTGTGTTTGGAGAACAATGAGCAGTCCAATCGGACTTTGGTGCTGGGGTGTGTGTGTGTGTGTGTGTGTGTGTGTGTGTGTGTAGGAGGTGTTTATGGGACAGTAGGTAAAGTCCAGAGTGTGGAAGGTCTTGAAGGCTAAGTTTAGCCTTTTTTCTGTTAGCAGCAGGGCCCCGGTGGAAATATAATATGAGGGCCACAAAACACTGAAATTGGGTTGTAGATATGACTTCTCAACCCTGAAAGTGCTTCATGCCAACTGACCTCATTCTTCCTGTTGGTTTCTTTCCACCCACTCCAACCCCTTATCAGGAGACAAATGGGCCCTGAGAGCAAGAAGGCTGCAAGGTGTCTGTAGGTAGCAAACATACTGATTCAGATCAGGCAGCAACAGGGACTCGCCAGAGCAAGTGCTGTGCCGTTGTGTCCATCCTGCTCAGTATGACGAGGCTGCTGGGCAGAATTCCAGGATTTCTGGAGAGTGACTTGGCCCGGTGACTCAGGCATTAATCAGGACCATAAAACCAAGGAGAAAAGTGTGTGCTGTCTGGGAAGAATCTGTTAACTAAAAATGCTGTAGGGGGTGGGGTGGAGAGTGGAGCACAGTGGAAACTTCCCACCCACCCCCACTTAACGC